TTCGTCACATTGAGCTTTGAGTGCCTTTGGATTATGGCATGGAACGAAGGTGTAAGGCTGCTCAGATGGAGCAGTGATTAGCGCCCTTGCTCGGTAAGCATGAAGTGCGAGTTCGAGTCCCTCGAGGTAAATTTTTGGCCATAACCTAGCTTTTCAGTAATGACTGAGCATTATGCTCTTTTTGAGTCGGATGCACTTTTCGTGGTAGTGCTGCTTATCTTTCACGTAGTTTCAGATCGCTCGCATAGTGCTGCTGTGGGTGAACAATCATTACAACGACTTTGAAACAAACGATGAAATGACGAAATTATTAGAAAGGTCAGACCTTCAGGCATCATTTTATTTTTACTTCTTCTGTCATTCTATTCGCTAAGTGCTGTTTCAGGTTCGAGGGCGCTTTGGAGCGTGATGGTATGCATAGTCAGCAGAGCTTACTGAATATTGCTTGCTCAGTAAAGGCCCGCCCCCGAACAGTAGTTTACTCGAGGGCCAATAAGGTGAGCAAATACTTTTGTGTATTTTGTTACATTTTAGCTTCAACTGCCCTTTGCACGAGACTTACCATTTAGGATGACGCATTACATTTCTCAATCCAGGGAGGTAAAGAGTGTGGATGCGGTATTTTTGTAAGCGAGGTAGGCTTGATGATTAGATACGCTACTTTTGCTTCATAAGAACCCATTATCACTCACACTAGTCCTGCAAGGAAAGAATTCCAGGTTCAACCAGATTCGCCCGCGGAACGTTGTGGATTAAAAAGAGGAGATGAGATTCTAGACGTCAATGGGCAATCTATGAAATATCTGACTTTAGCGAAAGCCTACGAAATCATGAAGGTTGAAGTTTTGTCCCGCTATTTTTTGCTGGTTTTGGATTTGTTTCGTGTTTCTGTGCGAAGCAGTGTCTTTTCAGGGTAGTATCTCACTCGCCATCAATCTGAAGAGTAACATTCTTGGGTTTAAAGAGTTGCTGGGAAAAACAGAGCGTGACGGCTCGAAGACAGCGAAAAACAGAGCTTTAGCTGGAGTTTTAACACAGGCTCGTGGGAGTGTACCCAATGTGATTCCCCGTTAGTTTGGGATCAAATTTGCGGCGTGGAGTTTTTGTTCGGCAGAATCGTCGAACCGGACAATGCTTATCCAAATCTGTCTACAACGCTACACAGACCATCGGGCGTGTTAGCAGCGATAAGCATATGGGAGCGTCTCAATTCGATTGCTCAGCCGAGTAAGGAACGCAGCGGCCCGCGACACTGCCGGGCGTTCAGATGAGTGGTAAGAATATACAACCTCGACGTGAACCGCTGACACCCTCCTAGTGATTACAATGATAGCTGTATTCATAGGAGCTTTGCTTCTTATAGGGCATAAAACTAGTATGATGGATAAACTGATGACGATATTGAAATCCACGAAGGATGGAGAAGATTCTACTGACGATATCCAAATAAGCACAAGCCAGCTGCGCCCTAGTAGATCAAATCCCGATATTACATCCATATCTCAGTACTATGGTCCCGTAAAAAGTGAATGTCCTGAACACGTGCTGAAGATTTACAGGTGAGCTCCTGATTTCTGCAGAAAACCCGGCTACATTATTGTTTTCTTTACAGAAGCGACCAGACGTTCAAGTATCTTGCAGTTTATAAAGAAACTACTGCTCAGAATGTGGTTCAGCTGGCATTACAGGTTTGTTTCCAAACTTTTATTATCGTCAGCTGTCTTGCACTGAGGTAGCACAGTTGGCGAGTCTTGGGCCTATTTGAGCTCAAAGGCGTTTCCCATGACTGCACATCGAAGGTAACAGAGTTCAAAAACAGGAGTACATTGCGCTAGTTACCTCAGCGGTGAAGAAAACAGTATGAAAAACCGTACTCGATATGGTCCTCCTTCTTGCACTTGATCATGATCACCGGACGAGCGCAAGATGGTCAAGATCAACAGTGATATGCAGAAGGTGACGATACACTGCAAAGCGCGGAGAGAGACCAGAAAATGACGGGCGAGAGAGCACAACGGCATTAGTACGACGACACGGGCAAGGTAGGCCGGCATGGGCCTCCTTGGGCCTAAAATCGAAGTTTACTGTGATATGCGTGCCATTTTGCAAGTTTTGAATGCAGCGCAACCTCTACAATCGCCTACCGGATCATCTGACACATTAAAGACAGCCCCCGCGCTCAAGTAGTACATGGTCGTCCTTCCTTGTGCAAGTAGTACAGCCCCCAAGCTAGAGACTGTCCCACTCTATTCGACTCCACAGCGAGCGAGGAGCGAGCTACAGCCGCTGAAAGTTCTAGTTCTAACGCCCGCCCAGTTGGACCGCCACTCTTTCATCCGACGGAAGGCCGCTCAGTTGTTCGTTGTTGGGGCGGCGGGCATTAATTGGAATCGCATGCCCTTTTCGCTGACCGCGCTTGTGCCCATGAATGATTCTGCTCTCCTTTATTACATTTTATTCATTAGGGGCACATACAGTCAACTCCAACCCATTTCGCAAGGTAAAACGCGTAAAAATCACGAGCGACCCAATTTTCGTGGTGCAAAAGCTCGACGCACTTCACTACACTAAAATATGCACGCTACCGTAACCCTAAATTCGGACGCCGAGTTTTTAAAAGTTTTTTTTTCCTTTTCAAGAGTTTTTCTTCCGTGTTTTTGTTGTTTTCCGTATTCTTTTCTTTGCATTGGATGATATCCACTACTGGGAGATGTGATAAAGGATTTGTGAGCCAGGGGTTGCACAGAGACCGCAGGGAGGTGTGACTGTCAGGGCGCGATTTTGTTTATGGTGTTCTTGAGG